CTTAGAGGCGTTTTAAAAATAAAATTTTATTGATAGTTGCTTATTAAAAATTTTTAGTTTTTAAAAAAATTATCACCTCCATTACTTTCGTCGGAGACTGTATGTCTTGCAGGTGATAGGCAAGATGTCCTGCAACTAGGCTATATGGATTTCATCTTGCTTGGGAGGCTGGTTTTAATAGCCACAACAGATAAGTAAATGTTTCTTTTCTATTCAATTAGGTCTTTGCACTGCATAGCATGATGCACAGACTTGTCTTCTTGTCTCACCTAGCCAAATATTGTGTCTTGCAGGTGATGGTGCATGTACAAGATGGAGAACATATCAGCCTTCTTGCTAGCCCAATAGTGCATCTTGTGGGTGATGGGTGTGTCCTGTAACTTAGGCGATATAGCTCTTGTCATGCTTTTACCTGATCTTTTGAATTAATTATTATTTTTCATTATACTAATTTATTATGCTTGATTTATCAAGATTTTTGTATACTAGAAATCAAAATCACTTCGAGGAGGGACCAGTGTTGAAAATTCAATGCCCGCAATGCCCGCGTGTAACATTACACACCAATCAATTTTTTAATTTTTGGAGATAGTTTCTAAATTTGTACTAGTTACACAACGAAATTTCAACACTGAGGGGGACTATTGATGGTTTTGTACTGTCTGTATTCATGAGATAAAGAATGAATCAGCCCTTTTGCTAGCCTAACAGTGCATCTCACAGGTAATGGTATCTTCTGCAACTAGGTGGTATGACTCTCATTGCAATTATGCAAAGTGTTAAAAGGTTTTAATTAAGTTTTATTAAGTACTTAATAAGTTTGACTTATTAAGCACAGGGTTAAAAGTTACATCACTATACTGCAAGCGTGTAAATTCAATTACAGCTTGGGTTGTGTCCAATAAAATATATAAGATAAAATAAATAAAAAGTCCAATATATAAATCTCCCTATCTTCGCACCACCTAATGGTTATCATTTATTCACATATTCCCAGATATCATCAAGCCTTCTACCACCTTTTTTTTTTTAATTGAAGAACTAATTTTATCTCTATTTAACAAAGAAACATTTTCAGCATCAAGTTCATAATTATAAGATGGTTCAAGAAAATCATTTATATCATCCCAGCAAGAAGTTGTCATATTATTTTTTTATGTTTATTATAATATACCACTACTATAATTATATATTGTTAATAAAGGAGTGTATTTATGTGATTATTCTAATAATTAAAAAAAAATATATTGTTGATGTAAAGAATTATTTTCAAAACGAATTGGACATTCTTATAACAAATACTTTGTAGTATAGTGCAAGACACCTAGTCCCACAACTTTTTATTGGCCTTGTAGATCCTTCTCTAACTCCAAAAATGGAAATGTA